AGCAAAGTAAATGCAATTGATATCCCAAAGAGAACAAAACTTTATATTTATGACAATCCCTTTGGCATCACGTCCGTTTATTTATAACACTGCATATAAGGGCACTCAGTCATTGTGGGAAGCGAGGGAGTCTAGATTGTAATTTAATTTTGATTGTCTTTGAACGTGACCCAAGAATGGCTTGACGCCGCTTGATTGCGTTAGTCTATCTAATTATAAACTTATGAGGGACTTCGTTGTAGGCATTTTGGGGGGCGGCAAGTCCTCTTTTGTGGCGTGTCAGAGTGACGGTAAGTTATGACAGGATCTTTATGATTGGGGTACTACGATTATTCCCTTTGCGTGAGTCTGTGATGGCATTTTGGAAAGTGCTTGGAGAAACATTAGTCGGAGGAGAAATGGTTTCCTGATGGTTTCCTTTGCCGCAGCATTAACAGGGGCTAATGGTTTCGCCGTTGAGAAGCGAATCGAAAGTGAACAAGAACAAACACATCCGCCTCAAAAGAACGAGGCATAAGACTCGACGCGGGCTCCTCCCTCCCGCCTCACACACTCCACTCCCGCCCACGATTTCTCATACATACTCTAGCCCCCCACCCCTCCCCACCGTCCAGGCCCGCTCCCCCTCCCGCTCATCCACTCCCCCCCCCCACACACACACTATCCCTGTCCCCCACGTTATACTCCACCCTTCCTTCCTGGCAGTCAGTCAGTTTGCAGATGGCCATCTCGGTCGTCACTGTAACCCAGTTAAGCCCACGCAAGGTCAGGAGGCAGATAGGTGGAGTGGGGGGCAGGGGGAGGAGTAGGAGCCAAGGGGAGAGGGAGGAGGGAGGAGGAGTAGGGGCCAAGGGGAAGGGGTGGAGGGAGGAGGAGTAGGAGCCAAGGGGAGAGGGTGGAGGGAGTGGGAGGGGGAGTGGGAGCCGAGGTGGAGGAATATGGAGTAGGACCCAAAGGCATGGAAGGAGTAGGGGCCGAGGGGAGGGGGTGGTGGGGTGGGTAGGAGGGGAGGGTCTGAGCGTGCACTCCGCTGATGAATATTTCCTCACGTGTATTAAGAGCCGCGAGTGAATTGCCCCGGTAATCCGTTGATTAATGGAGATGTCTGCTGTTATTGTACTCGACGGTAGCGGCAGTAGACTCTTATTAAATAATTGTTGTTTTATTCGCGTTCTTTATGCGAATTAACTAGCAGGAATTGTTAGTGTCTGATTAAGCGTTTATCGTGGAGATTCGATAGCGTAGACTTAGTATCTGTGGGTATCATTACTGACCAATTAAAGAGGGATTGTGCGAGAACAATGTCTTTGAGTCACAGTGAAGCTTCGTGTTTCGAGACAGAGGAGCCTAGCCTCCCGATTTAAGGGCTAATTGTTCTTGTGTTTGCGGACAGAGGGGGGATTAAGGGGAGAGAAAACGGGGCTTTCACCTTCAATAAGAAACAAGATGTTGCACAGTCTGTGGGATGTTTATTGTTGCAACCTATCTTGTAGTGTGTTGAATAAGGGTGAGAGTGTTTATCACGATTGTCATGAAAAAGTGGGCAGTTTATCTTTTGCGGAGGAGCAGACACTCCTTTGAAGATGATCGGGAAAAATAAGAAAATAAGTCTGTTTACCACGAGATATTTTGAACGCTCTTGGGTCCGTCCGCCTTGTTTTGGCTCGACTGGAAAACAATTCGGTATTGGGTTGGACCGGCGGAGATCGATTCGAGATCTCACTGCGCTCGTTGTGCTGCTTCCCGTTTGGCGATTTCGTTATCTGTTTTTTTATGAGAGTGCTTTAAATAGCTAAGACTTGCTAGAGTTCTGTTTAAGAAACGAGGAAAAGTTACAGTCGTCAGCACAAAGAATATTGGAAATACACAGATACATACGCTCAGACAGCTATCAAAGGGCTTGCCTTAAAGAAGATGTAAAAAAGTAACAACTACAAAGCACAGAAGACGCGCGAGTAACACAATGGAGGGTGTTGCTTGACATGCCAGAGGAAGCCACTCCTCATGACACATGCCAGGAGTCCCGCAAAAGGATACATATGTCACTGTTATTACCTGACTTCTTCGCGCCAGCCTCCCGCCATACAAGGATTGATAGACTTCCTGTTGGAGTGAGATGGAATGAGGCGATGTCCGAGTCCGAAGGAGGTGGATCTGAAGTAGGAATGAGCACGAGTGGGCGACTGAGGTGGAATGGGAGCGAGTTGGAATGGGAGGGAGGTAATGGGGCTCGAAGTTCGACCAAGAGGCGACGCGATAGGAATCCAGATAAGGGCCGATCCGTCACAAGCCATAATTGATACTCCGAGTGCGACGCGAGCGGGCCGACGACCCCTTTGTGGCCGTGGACTATGGGGTGCGCGCGGACCATGGAGGCCGCGGTGCCTGATAGCGACGGCGTTTCTCTTTTGACGCCGGAGAAGGAGATACTGATCTGAAGAAGGGCAGGGCGAGGGTGGGGGCCGATTGCTGCCCGTCCAGATGATTTGTCTGGGTCCTTTCAGGCGGCGACGGAGGGCATTGGGGAATGGGTCGTGGTGTCCATATGGCGCGCGGGAGGAGATTTTGGTTGGGCATAAGGGTAGGGCAGCGGGGGAAGGAGAGTGTTCTTAGTAACAGGATTAGTACAACTAGTACACAGAGTGGCGTTGTGTAACCTTAAGCGGAGTGCGAAATCGCCGTTGCTCTTGATGAAAAGTTTTCTGAATAGAGATGGTTCAGCTTGAAAGAGAACGATGACTGGTATTCATTTATAATTCGAAATAGTTGAAGAAAATTATTAAGTTTTGGAAACAAACTTGTTATTCTTGTAATTTGATGTAGTAAGTGAAGTATTTGAAGTTTGTGGTTTGGTATTTTTCTACTATTAAAGCTTAAATCGTATCAGGGGATATAAAATTGCTGAGCAAGATTGGAGTTTTTATAAGTGATGTAATGTTCAGTGTGTGGCAGTGTCAGCGTGCGGGAAAGATAAAAAGTTATCAGTGTACCAAGATATAATGACCTAGGGATGTCAGACAAGAGAAGCAGTGTTAACAGTACACACGCCCACACACACACACCGACACACACACACACACACACACACACACACACACACACACACACACACACACACACACACACACACACACACACACACATACACACACACACACACACACACACACACACACACACACACACACACACACACACACACACACACACACACACACACATACACACACACACACACACACACACACACACACACACACACACACACACACACACACACACACACACACACACACACACACACACACACACAGATTGAGAGAGAGAGAGAGAGAGAGAGAGAGAGAGAGAGAGAGAGAGAGAGAGAGAGAGAGAGAGAGAGAGAGAGAGAGAGAGAGAGAGAGAGGGGAGAAGCAGGGAAAGGAGAAAGACATGTAAATTAATAAATATATGAATACACACGCTCTTACTCATGCATACAAAATATAAAATTCTAGGAGTATACAAATGTTCATTCTTCAAAAGAAGTTGCACTAGTTTGAAGGTCGAGAATCCCCCCCCTCCCTCCCTCCCTCAGTCCCTTCCCAGCTGATAAGGAAGTGTGGAGGACGCGATAATGCATGAAGTACTTGATAACAGGAAGGCGGCTCTAGTGAAATAATGGGCACGAGATTTGGTCGAGGTTGGGCAAGGGGCTCTTCGGGGAGGCAGAGAGCAGGTCCTTGTAACCTCAGGTGGTACGGTCGCCGGTAGGGAGAGGGCAGCGATGTCCGTGGTCGCCATGAGGGCAGCGATGTCCGTGGTCGCCATGAGGGGAGCTATGTCCGTGGTCGCCATGAGGGGAGCCACGTCCGTGGTCGCCATGAGGGGATCTGTGTCCGTGGTCGCCATGAGGGGATCTGTGTCCGTGGGCGCCATGAGGGGAGCTATGTCCGTGATCGCCATGAGGGGAGCGATGTCCGTGGTCGCCATGAGGGGAGCGACGTCCGTGGTCGCCATGAGGGGAGCTATGTCCGTGGTCGCCATGAGGGGATCTGTGTCCGTGGTCGCCATGAGGGGAGCTATGTCCGTGGTCGCCATGAGGGGATCTGTGTCCGTGGTCGCCATGAGGGGAGCTATGTCCGTGGTCGCCATGAGGGGAGCTATGTTCGTGGTCGCCATGAGGGGAGCTATGTTCGTGGTCGCCATGAGGGGAGCTATGTCCGTGGTCGCCATGAGGGGAGCGATGTCCATGGTCGCCATGAGGGGAGCTATGTCCGTGGTCGTCATGAGGGGAGCTATGTCCGTGGTCGCCATGAGGGGAGCTATGTCCGTGGTCGCCATGAGGGGAGCTATGTCCGTGGTCGCCATGAGGGGAGCTATGTCCGTGGTCGCCATGAGGGGAGCTATGTCCGTGGTCGCCATGAGGGGAGCTATGTCCGTGGTCGCCATGAGGGGAGCTATGTCCATGTCCGTGGTCGCCATGAGGGGAGCTATGTCCGTGGTCGCCATGAGGGGAGCCAAGTCCGTGGTCGCCATGAGGGGAGCGATGTCCGTGATCGCCATGAGGGGAGCGAATTTAGGGCTGCCGATCTCTGTTTAACAAATGGTTAATACATGCTTGGGGGATGTAGGAGTGAGGGTTGTTGGTAAGAGAAACGGTAGGGGGCAAGAGAGGTTTTTGGGATAGGAAACTTAAGGGGTTTTGTAATATTTATGGGGAGCGGGTGAGTCGGGGGGGGGGAGGTCAAGGCTTTTGGTAAGGGGAAGAGTTTTAGCAAGAGGGAAGTTATTTTTATTTGGGAAGAAGAGAGGTTGTTGGTATGGGGCAAGAGAGAGGTTTTTATTGTGGGGAAGAAGAGAGGTTGGTATGGGGTACGAGAGAGGTTTTATTGTGGGGGACAGCGGGGAACGGGAGAGTGAGGGATGGGATGCCAAGTTCACTATATAACATCATGACGCCATATGTGTGACCTGTATATTCTTCTTAACATTTCATAGAGGAGGTGCCTGTATCTCACTGCGGTATATGCTAAGCATATAAATTGAATACATACCTCCTTTATCGTCTGGCAAAAAAATTGAATCCTGTGACGGGATAATTGTGGCTTATTGTGGGGAAATTCGACATGTTTCGTGTTTCGGAGTCACCAACTCTGCTTTAACAGCCCACGCGGAAAAATATTAATTTCTAGGCACATTATTTTTCAACATTTACTTTTACCTTCTAGGTTATTGCTAATCTGACGGTTAAATTTTTGACTGAAGGCGATTGCATGAGTAAATACTGATATTTGATAATATCCATGGAACGCAAAAACGTATAAAATGAAATGAGCATTTGTTTACATTTACATACATATATATATATATATATATATATATATATATATATATATATATATATATATATATATATATATATATATATATATATATATATAAGCATCCAGTATATTCACACACATGTTTCTACATAAACAAACATTCAGACATTACATTCATATATAGGTCGACAGATGCAGAATTGTTAGATTGAAATCTAGTTATCTGACTAGACAGAGAGAGAGAGAAAACAGGCAAATAGAGGTATGTGTGTTAAGTATAGCGTAACGATTTTTTTCACGAACAACGTCGTTGCATGTCATGTGCCGTGGGCCTGAGCCGCAGATGGGCGTGTTCGGTGGGCCACCTGTGCGTCAGACGCCGCAGCTGGTCAGACATGATAGCAAGTAGGTGGTGAGGGATGACTGGGAGTGGTGATGGAAGGAGGAGGAGGAGGAGGAGGTGAAGAAGAAGGGGGGGGGGGGGAGAAGGCGAAGAGGAAGGGGAAGGGAAAGGGAAAGGGGAAAGGGAAAGGAAAAGGGGGAGAAGAAAGAGTAGGAGTAGGAGAAGAACTGGGAGGAAAGAAAAGAAACGGAAGAGGAAAAGAAGAAGAAGACGAATGAAAACTTGACAGCAAAGGGCGAGTGCCAAAAAGGCTCGTAGCGGGAGAATAAGCTGCAGAAGGCGGTGGGCGTGAGAGGCGATGATTGGAAGTGACGCGTGGGCGAGGGACGGCAGGGGTGAGTGGCAGGTGGGGCGGCGTGTTGGATGGGCGGCGTGTGTTGCTGATTGAGCGATTAGACCGAGTTCTTTGCTTGGTGGAAGTGATGAGTGTTCGGCAGTTCCCGAGCAGATGTAAGTTGGACTGAGGGCCGGGTGGTGGGCGGCGGGCGTCGTGCAGCAAACGGGCGGGCGGTGTTGATGGCATGTGTAAACTGTTAACATGGTAAGCGGATGTGCGTGGAGACTTGTAAACCGCCGCGCAGCCGAGCGATCACGGGGTCAGGAATAGTACGGGGTAATAAGGGCGAAGGCTTGACGAGTGGGCGCCCGCTTGGCCTCTTGGCAGCAGAGTGACATAAACTGTTGATGCTACAGGGGTTCATATAAACTGCTCGGAGGCGTTGCTGACACCTATTTTCTTCTTCCGTCCCCCCTTCCTCCTCCCCTCTTCTGTCTCCCCCTCCTTCCACCCTCCCCTCTTCCTTAAACCGATATCCCGAAAATTCCTTCGAGGGGGCGTGTCTCCCGAGCCGTTTGGGTTCGAGACAGATGCGTTGGCAGCGACGTTAGCGCCGCCCCTTCGAGATGGATTCCGTGTACTTCGATCTTGTTGCATCACCGTAATGACAGCATCCGCCGCCCTTAGCCAGACGAACGAGGGAATCGCCCGGGTGATTTGGTCACGATTTCATCAGCCAATTACGTCATTATGCCTTCTTTTGCCACATAAGAGTAGAGATGGCGGACCCGCGCGCCGCACACAACCCGCCTCTGCGACGGGACGGATCCCCAAGGCTGGCCCGCATCTGCTGCCTCCGTGCCCACGCCGCTCCCGCCGACCCACGACCCATGGGCGCGATCTGGGTCTCCGCCGCTATTGATCTCTCTGGCCTCATCGCGCCCGAATACGGGAGCCCATGTAGATATCAACTCAGAGATAGGCTATATACAGTATATACAATATGCATATGATGTTTATATATATATATATATATATATATATATATATATATATATATATATATATACATACACACACACACATATATATATATACATACACACACACCTATACATACACACACGCACGCACGCACTCACTCACTCACTCACTCACTCACTCACTCACTCACTCACTCACTCACTCACTCACTCACTCACTCACTCACTCACTCACACACACACACACACACACACACACACACACACACACACACACACACACACACACACACACACACACACACACACACACACACACACACACGGAATATACGTACGAGTAAGCACAATTTATAATCCTCTTTTGATTGCCATAAATCTCTCCTTATTAAAATCAGCACTGGGACTTCTGGGGTGGAGTTTTTGCCTCCAGAATTTCGACTGTAAATCTTATTATGTTCTTCGCGATGACGCAGTTGACCCCAGGACTCCAATGTAATTAGATATTGTTAACCTTACATATACATGACGTGGAACATTTAATTACTGGCATTAGAGCTTACGGTAATTATTACATCCGCTCGCCTTCCCTCCTCCTACCTACTCCCTCCCTCCCTCCCTCCCTCCCTCCCTTCCTTTCGCCCCTCACGCCTTCATTATTACGGTGCTTCCATTATGACTATTTTCCTCATTATCTTGAATGTAAAATGCCTCCTATGTGATGTAGTGGTGCTGCCATACCTTAGGGGGGGGTTGACCTGTTGTAAGGCAGAGGTCAGTAGTGTTGTAGTTGCCTGTTGTCGAGGTTGTGATTGTAACTCCTAATAGTTTCTGTAGTTCTGACTCTGATGGATTCTATGGTTGTGAGTAAAATTGTTTGTATGGTCGGGACTAGGATGGATTCTGTGGTAGTGAGTGATGGTTTCTATAGTTGTGACTCGAATGATTTTTAGAGCTGCGACTCCACTGGATTCTATAGTTGTGGCTCCAATGGTTTCTATAGTTGTGACTGATGGTTTCTGGTTTTATTATCCTCTTTAAATACTGTGTGTTTACGCAGGGTATTGCATTTCCTAGTATCCGGGTCGTAATAAGTTGTAGTCCAAGTATCTGCTTCTTTATTTACACTGTAAATTGTATTCCTAGTATCTGGCCCGACTTTATTGCTATCGAAATGCTATATAAAGATATAAATTGATAATATCAAGGATATTTATTGATATTTCTGTGTGGAGGTTGTTATCGGCGTCTGTGTTTTATAGCTTTTATTGCCGCGCTGTGATTGTCTTGCCGTTCAATTAAGTTTTACGATCGCTCTTTCCATAGACCTTGGCCGTCGTTTTTGCAACTTTTCTTGAATGCGACGATTTATTTAATTTTTTACTTTGGTTTCGCCTTCGTGGTGTTCATATACAAAAAAAATCTTTCAATTTGTATCATATTTCTGTTCTTTGATGAAAGGAAAATATCAAAATTCTGTATAGGCAAGGCACAGTTTTTATCCAACTGATTTCATTTGTAACAGTTTAAATGTCTCACGCTTTGTTTTATTATCATCATTTGTATATTTTTGTACGTGGTTTCATTAAGTTTGTTGGGTCATCATTTTTCTTTCCTTGATGTTTAGCATAACTTGGATAAACTTTTTTTACGAACGGACTCAGCGGTCTTCCAAAATCGTTAAAATTTCCCGAGTTGTTTTCTTCTAATGTATTTTACTCCCATTTTTCACCTTGTTTCTTACCTGCTTCAGTTTTCACCTCTTTGCTTTCGTTTTTTGTTTGTGAGAATTAATAGGTCTGCAGCCCCCCTTTCAAATTCTTTCAAATACAGTTTTTGAAATCTTCCCAACTTTGACTTTAGTTTAGCTAAGTTTTCTGTTCAGCGTTGGCAGTTGATGGCCAAGTGACAGTCTCCCCTTCAGAGCGGCGGCGTTTCCTCCGTCTGATTTTAGGGGGGGACTCGCACAGAGGCGATTTTTTTGCGTCGTTCACTGGGGGGAAACCTTTTGTGCTTTTCAGTCTTTTTTTAGACACTAATTTGAAGTTCAGGATGCTTTGTGTGTGCGATCTGCTGTTGGTAAGTTCCGTGTAAAAAAAAAAAAATACTGTCTTCAGAATTTTCTTACGTTTTGATTTTGTAAAGAAGAATATCTGTAGCATTTTTTTTCTTATTTATTGGATTTTTCTGTTGATTCAGATGAATAGTAAATGGGCATGTGAGGTGAACTGTGAACTAATAGTATTCCCGGCACAAGCTGTAATTTGGCGAGCGGGGCAACATTAATGACTTCCAGCAAACAGCATCAGTAGTATGCGGAGTGAACTAACGGCTGTGTCAACAAGCCGTGCCGCCCCAACTTCTCTTGTAATTGATTGTAAATACCCAAACACTCGGTTATGTGGTGTTGCGTAACCGACTTTAGCTTATAATCTTTTCTCTCTCCTTTCTTTCTTTGATTCTCTCTTCTGTTTGTTTTTTTTTCTTCATACTCCTCTTTCTTCTTCTTCTTCTTCTTTCTCTTCCTCCTCTCTCTCTCTCTCTCTCTCTCTCTCTCTCTCTCTCTCTCTCTCTCTCTCTCTCTCTCTCTCTCTCTCTCTCTCTCTCTCTCTCTCTCTCTCTCTCTCTCTCTCTCTCTCACGCACTCACATATGAAGTGTGCAATAAAAATGTGTTTGGTATTTAGATGCTAGCTCAGTAGATAGCATTGGCGTTATGATAGATCAGATACTAAAATTACAATAACTTGGACCGTACTGAGTTAGCATCTGTATTTCATTCACTAAGTTATTCAACCAAAGCAACAAGTGACAGGGAAAGTAGTGACAGGTCGTGATAGAGACAGTAAGAGGAAGTTTATAAGTGAATGAGTTCGTGTGTGAGTGAGAGAATGAGTGAGTGAGTGAGTGAGTGAGTGAGTGAGTGAGTGAGTGAGTGAGTGAGTGAGTGAGTGAGTGAGTGAGTGAGTGAGTGAGTGAGTGAGTGAGTGAGTGAGTGAGTGAGTGAGTGAGTGAGTGAGTGAGTGAGTGAG